GGCCTAGAACTAATTAGTATCTTAATTTACATCATCTGCTTAAATTACGAGGACATGTATGGATGCGGAAGAGTACATCTAAAATTATTGCATGATTATCTTTTTAGGTACAAATGATAGAAAAGATAGACGTTGAATTATCTTGTCAATGAAAATGACTTTGGGATGTGATTGTTTGATCAGCGGCGTCTGGGAGTCGATGTTTAATAGAGTTATATTATAATTATGTACAAGGAGACGATCTAGGTATCATGAGATGGCAAATGGCATGAGGGCAAGGCAGCCACTTGCAGCAGCAAAAACGAGGATATTAAATTATTTTCTGTGTATATGTACATGCATATCGCTTAATGATTACATTGTATTGCAGTTATTAACTAAAGTATTGTTGTTGTATATCTATGCTGGAATTGTTAAATTGCGCAGTGGTACATTATTATTTGCGATAGAAGGGGCTTGCCCATTAGTAAGTTATATTTGGTCCTCCGTTTTAGATAAAGTCCAGCTTTTTTTCAGTAACGATGTTTGTTGTTTACTGATGTCGTTCTCAATTTTTATGCTCACCTTGACATCGTCAACGTTCCGGCTTGTCTGTCATCTATCTGTCCGGCAACTTTCGGCTACGGTCAACGACTAACGCAGGGGAACGTGGCCACATGTTTGAAATTGGTATATTGTTTACTGCTATGCTCCCATTTATTTTAAGTACCTATTTTTGAGTCACACAGTCGGAGTACTTTTCGAGCTCCACAGGCCAAAATGTTTTGGCAAAAATGGGAATTGCACATTTAGTCAGTCAGGTTCAACGGATTTTTATCATTTTGGGGTTATGTGACATGAATAAGGTGCTAGGGGTGTTGAATTTAAAAATATAATTAATGCAAATTAGTGTAGCGTGTTTGAGCTAGATAGCTATATTAAACACGAAACAGTCTTGGTTGGCACACTTCGTCTGGTTCGGTTTTTACAGATGTTCTATGGACATATCCTTTATGCAGATAGATGTGGGTATGTGTCCCCTGCCGATTAAAAGTCATTATTAGAGTAACGTTTTACAAGATAATGGCGGAACGAGCTACTGTTTATTCAAATCATTCGGCTCAAAGGCGCGGCTTAGCGCCTCTACTGTTCAAAATTGTGATATGGTTAAATATTATTATGCGGATTATGGACAGATGGCAATTCGTTGTCTGAAGGTACTTGAGTGTGCCTCATTAGATAAGCTGATCTTGTGGCGTTCTTACAATGCAGTTTGTGTCCCTTTTGTGTGGTGGGGGACAGTGCTATTGACACTTGTCATGGTAGTGTAATGAAGTAAGGGCTAGAGGGTTTTGATATTTATAAGAAAATTATGATGAGCGTAGGATTTGGCAATGTGTATGAGTATTATATAAACAAAATCAGTCTGTGGTGTCACATAGTCTGGTCGTTTTACAATATCTTCAGTGAAATATCTTTAATGCAAATATTGAGGATGTCTCTGCACCTGCCGGACTATACGTCTATATTTAGAGTAATAGAGTTTACATAAACGTGTCGGCATACGCAAACTTAACTTAACCTATTTATTTCAAACGCCATCGCTACAAAGCGGGTATAGCGCCATCTACGGTCACAAATTGTGATTAATTTTGGTTTATAAATTATTATTGCGATATACAGATGGCAATCGTTTCTATAATGTACATCGATGGTTGTTCGATTAAAACTGACTTCTTCTTCCTCACTCATTTGTGTCCTTTTTTGTGGTGAGCTACAGTGTCATTGACACTTTCGTTTATTAAATTTCTAATTTTCCTAAATTATTGAGGACTACTTTCAACTATGCGTCCAACATGTGATAACTACTAGTACTGAGAGTGTCAGTTGAACATTTCCTTGCCGCTGCAGTTGATGTGGACATCAAGACGGAGCCTCTGTCGCCACCCTCATCTCTCAGCTCTAATGGCCATGATTCGGACAGCTCTAGCTGTGATTCCTGCCTACTGCAGCCTCAGGTGAGCAGAGCCGCACGCCCACCTCGATTGCTCGATTCGTGTTGCAAGCTTGACGCCCATTTTTAACTAATTGTGTGTGCGTGTGTGTGTGTCTGTGTGTGTGTGTGCGTGCGTGCGTGCGTGCATGCGTGCCTAATATATGTGTGCGTATAATATTGTCGTGAACATGTTTATACACTTGTATAAGATGTGTTCATGATAAGTAATGTGGCCTGCTGTTAACTTACAGGGTAGAACACAAGAGTAACGTAACAGCCATTTCTTCTAAGTAGCTGGACGCTTAGATATTAAATCATGTTTTATTTGTGGAGATATGTAGCTGATGAATAATGACATCACAGGAGTAGTGGATTACAGGCGTAATCGTGCTAACGTGTTCAAAATTTTTTGTGGATTTAGACGAAGCGGCAAAGGGTGGACGTGAAGCAAGTTAGAGTCGGTGCAAACCCCCTCACAGGACCAATCAACCCCTCCTCCATTCTAAATGGACCGGCCTGTACAGCAGTCACCATTCCCACAATCAAAACAGGTAGGCACACCTTGAGCCTTTCAGTTACACCCGCCGTGTTATTGATTATCACAGGGCATATAAATGTGCTTTCGTCATTAAAAATACACAATAGAAACACTAATGATTTATTACGATTATACTATCAGGAGTCTATCAATATTGATAGACTCCTGATAGGCTGATACTATTCATAGAAATTAATAGATCTAATACTATTTGTGGTATTAAAACACGTAATTATGTAATATTGTTGGATTTCTAGGCACCACGACATGTGCAGTTCACAGACTGGATCTACAAAATGGTCAAAACAGTGCAAATGCATTACATACAAAATCTGTTCTGCCCATCCAGCCGAAACAAGAAATTTCCAGCCGTGTTTTACACAGTAAGTATAGCTTGTGTCGTTTATATCAAGTATGAATCTTTGTGTTAAAACCAGCTTATTATAGCGTCCTTTTTGTTTAATATTCGTTATTGCCTCGTCATAAAGACACGATAACTTTGATAAAATTTGTTTTTGTCAGAATCCACAGAAGCATCAGCTATAACGTCGCCGGGAGCGACGGGAAATCCTCTGGTGCTGACTCCAGAAGAATTCTCCAAGTTGACAGCAAGCGGAGTGCTAACACTGAAGCCGCAGCCGGTGGCTCCCTCACTGCAGACGAATACTCAGATGATAGCCATTCCAGTCGGGAGCGTGAATGCCTCGCTGCCCTCTACTCTGTCCATACAGCATCAGACGTCAGTCACTGAAGGGGACCCCAATGATGTAATTATTACAACTAATTACTTGTTGATTCTCAAAAGCTATTAATAACAGGAACGTGGATTGCGAAAATGTTGTATATTCAACATTCAATGAATTAATTGCTACCGTTGATTGCAAGAATGTGTAACACCCACAAATTCAAACAAAATTCCGTAACTACCACTGGTGCAGCCTCATCTATGTGTATTGGCAGAGATGGTGATGAGGTTTGTAAGGGAATTTGGAAATTGAACTTCAGCTTGTGACCCGTGATAGCGAGTCGTACTCCCCAGTCAATTCCCAGCGTTTTATAGCTTGTCATACACTTCCGTAACTATAGGCTCTTGAACCTATAATAAATATTAATAGCCACTAGAAATGGATTTGGAAAAAAAGTAACTTACAGTGTAGAAAACCTTTTGTTGATATTTTATACCCTACAATGTATGCGGGGTATTCAAGAGATGTCAGTGTTCCCTGACTTGTTATTGTGTTAAGTTGTATATATTGAGTATATATGAGGTGTTGTAGTATTGAGGTGTTTCTTATACTTTGAAGTACATGCACGTTAATACTTCTTAAAATGGTACATTGTTTTCAATTCAAATGCAGAATTCAGTAGCCTATCTGTCCCGTGTTTGTGCTAAATTCTTCTTCTTGTTGTGTTGCTAATTATCGTTCCTGTTTTATAATGTTTCTAGCGGGTACTCAAGAGACATCAACGAATGATCAAGAACAGAGAATCAGCATGTCTATCAAGAAAGAAAAAGAAAGATGTTTGTAACACAATCTGCTTCTTACTGACCAATTATCATTTTAATGCATTCTATCATAGTGCAGTTGCAGTAGCAGTGCAACCTAGCATACTTCAGTTGTAGTCACAGCACTTCCTAGCATGCTGCAATTGCAGTCACAATGTATCCTACCCTACCAAGATTGCAGTTATAGTGCATCCTAGCATACTGCAATTGCAGTCACAATGTATCCAACCCTACTAAGATTGCATTCACAGTGCATACTAGACTATGATGATTGCATTCCCGGTGCGTCCTACATTACTGTGTTTTTGGTACTTTTGATTTCATTATGCGTGTTTATTTATGCAGTACATGTCAAACATCGAGGAGAACCTAAAGAAATGTAAAGCTGAGAATGCCCAGCTGAGAACAGTAAACCAACAACTAAAGCTGAGCGTGGACTCTCTCAAGACAGAAGTGAGTGTTTGGCTGTTAGAGTTAATGAGAATAACATGACTGTATTATTACTGATTTATTAAGGAGTGCGAAATTTTCACCAATCTTCCTGTTATTCCCATGTTGGTTATTCATGTTGGAGCGGTGTGCATTGCTGTTTTTTTATAATTTCGCGAAATTCATCAAAATCTTTTTATCTTCCATGTTATTGTTATATAGTAGGCACGCACACCCACCCACTGTATGCACACGTACGAATTATGACGGCTTGCTTTTTTTCACAGAATCAGATTCTGAGGAAAGCCGCCTCATTTACAGTCACAAAGAAGTCGGCAACATATTTCCTCGTCGTTGTTTTTATGTTTGCGGTCAACATTGCACCTTATGGGTAAGTCAACATATAAAATAATTTAACATTATGGTTGCGATAACATGCAAAATTGTTTGCAAGAATTTGTTATTTAGGTTTTCTATATCGATTTTGCAGACAGTTTGTATTATTTGGAAAAAAATTGCCTCGAAATAATACTAAAAGTACCAAATAACAAAACTTTCTCAAGCCCTGGGCAGGCCTCAAACGCCCCCCCCCCCCCGCCTCAGAAGTTAATTCCATTTCAAGAATCGGGAAAAAAAATCCCATCCACTCTCTTGGAAAAAACAAGAACAAGACTAGATCTAGGAGTATCGTGTCATGATCTCTGTTGTCCTCTTCCAGGTCCTTGTGGTGTTCTCTAGAAGATTGCAACGCTCTCTGTTGTCCTCTTCCAGGTCCTTGTGGTGTTCTCTAGAAGATTGCAACGCTCTCTGTTGTCCTCTTCCAGGTCCTTGCTGTCTCTAAGAAGATTGCAAAACGCTCTCCTGTTGAATCGGCTCATTCCCAGGTCCTTGGCTGTCTCCTAGAGATTAAAGACGCCGTCATGATCCTCTGTTGTCATCTTCCATGGTCACATGACTGTCTCTAGAGGATTGCGAACGCCTCTGAGTCCCTCTGTGTCTTCTTCCCAGGTCCTTGCTGATTCTCCTAGAGGATTGTAATTCTCTCTGATTATGCCTCTTCGCAGAGTCTCGCATCCAGGTTCTCTAGAGAGATTAGTAACAACCTCCTTGAGGTCTAACCTGTTGTACCCTCTTCCTGTCGCGCATACTGTTCTCTAGAGGATTGTAACGCATGCCTCTGATTGTCCTACCTTACAACAGGTCCTTGTTGAGTGTTCTGCCTGTAAAGAAGATTGCAGACGCCTCATCTGTTGGTCCTCTCCAAGGTCTTTTGGCTGTTCTTCTAGAGGATTAGCAAAATAGCTCTGAGTTCTCTGGTTTCATCTGTCCATGATCATAACTGTTCTCTAAGAGGATGTACACTCGTCTGGTAGTGCTCTTACTTCACAGGTCTTTGCTGTTGCCTCTAAGAGGATTGTAATTCTCTCTGTCTATCCTCTTCGCACGGTCCATCCAGTTCTCGTAGAGAGATTGTTACACTCCTTGAAGTCTCACTGTTATGTCAGCTCCTTCCATGTCCATACTAGTTCTCTAGAGGATTGTAACAGCTCATCGGTGTTTGTACTCCTTCCAGGTCTTGTGCCTGTAAAATAAAAGCACATTCGCTAGAGGGATTGAAATTTGAAAAGTGATCTCACGTCTGTTATCCTCTCCAGGCTCCCGATCCAGTTTCTCTAGAGATTGTACACACTCTTGAGTCTCTGTTGTCCTCGTTCCAATGTCCATTCTGTTCACTACGAGATATAAGGTAGAACGAGCGATAATGGCCGGTGTGTCTGTCTTTCTTCGCAGGAATCGTTCATTCGGTGTCAGAGCACGAAAGTAAGAGAGGCATTGTAGACGCACTCTAATTAAGTCGGGCTCCGTAGCCAGGACACGTGACACTGAGTGGTCTATCAGATAGGAAAAAGGGAGGGGAAGGACTAAAGACTGAGTTGAGCTGGCGGAAGAGAGTCAGAAGGTCCCGAGAGAAGTGAGCAGAGTATTCAATGAGCATCAGGAGCGGAGGGACCGAAGAGGGGTGAGAGCGAAGAAGAGGAAGTCCTGCGGTGAGGAGCCTACACGTTGCATGGGGATGAACAGAACGGACCGACTAACCAGCGTCGACGCCAATGAGAAGTATACGCAGGTGAGCGGGCAGGTTCGGCGTATCACTAGAGACCGGGGTGGACATCATGATCACAACCAGATAATCGTCAGGCGGGGACACTCATGCATGAGTGCTATGATCGAAGGGCAGAGCAACCTGTGCTGAGACTGGCGCCCGATGTGACTTTCAACAAGGACGAATTAAAAAAGAAGAAAAGAGGACGAACTGGCAAGAATGCCACGTGCGCGCGGTTCAAGAAGGATAGAAGAGGGAGGGAGTATAGACGGAAAGAATGGGAGAAGAGAGGAGGATAAATGTGTTAGAATTGAAACTGGTAGACACTAGGAAACTCGGCAGACAAGCGGAGGGAAGGTAGGCCGCGTATGGGCGTAATCGAACGGGTCGGTGCTGGTCCAGTAAGGTTCAGGTCCTAGTAAGCCGGCCGCGTGCGATCGGTGCGGTGCTGTCCAGTTGCTAGGCTCCAGAAGTCAGGACGGTAACGTCAAGAGCAGTAACGGTGCGAGGTACAAGTAACGTCGAGTTTCAGTAAGTATGTTACAGATATTGAACACTATAAATAAAAGAGAACGTATAAGTGTCAGGTACTAGATAGAATGAGCGGCCGCGTTGCGGAAGTCAGATGGTGCTGCTCACGATTTTGAAGTACAGGATACTAAGTTAGAGGTGACAAGGTTACAGTAACGGCCAGAGTATACTGAGAGAGCATAAAAGCCGTCAGGTTCAGGTAAGAGGTACAGAGATCCTGAGTAAGGTCCAGGTCTAGTAAGCACAGACACTGGCACGGCGATGCATCTGTGGGATGCATGTCAATCGGTGAGAGTTCAGGAGTTTCGAAGAAGTCGACAGGTCCAGTTAAGCGTCAGATCACAGTGAAGGTCAGGTCCGAGTAACCGTCAGAAGTCGCTGTGACGGTCAGATCAGTAATGTCAGTTTAGTAAAAATCAGCGTCGCAGTAAAGCATCAGTTCAGTAAAGTCAGGTCCAGTAACGTCAGGTACAGTAACGTCAGGTCCAGTAACGTCAGGTACAGTAACGTCAGGTACAGTAAAGTCAGGTACAGTAAAGTCAGGTACATGAAGGTCAGGTACATGAAGGTCAGGTCCAGTAAGGTCAGGTACAGTAAAGTCAGGTACAGTAAAGTCAGGTACAGTAAAGTCAGGTACATGAAGGTCAGGTCCAGTAAGCTCTGCGTTGAGATCGGTTGGTGCCCTCCTCGTGTCGTCTTCGCGTTCGCGATGGTCTGAGGATATGCGAGGAATGCGTGAGCTAGAACCAAGGTTGCTGCGTGTTGTGTACGTTAGTCACATTAGTTTGAATTCCTGAGTAAGATTGGTGCGTTCCAAATGTGTGTGTTTACAAAGCGACCAAACTGATTTACCCTGCCGAACAGTCTTGTGATCTTAAATCATGTTGGGAAATCATGCTCCTTACAGTCCAGTGTCCAGTTAATTTATGACAGGCCAGTGTGGCAATGCAGTGTTTGAAAGGACATTGCATTTATTTTTTCTTGCATTGTGGATATTACAAAGGACTGGGCTGCGCGCAGTGAATCTAACTACATAATGAAGATCAGATTCTGTCTGTCTGTCAAATCAAATGGGTATTGAAATTTCGACTGAAAATTACCTACCCTGACAGTATCCTTGTGAAGTAGTATGAGCGAATTACAAGTGCATGGTTGCAGGGTAACTCATGCATTCGTTGAACCATATCTTTGCTCTGCACGCAGGATAAACAATGAGCTCGTTGGCTGGATCAATCGCATCAAGAAACACGAGGAGGAGAAGAAGAGCAAGAAGACGGAGAAGAAGCGGGAGCCATCGCCGAAGAAGCGGGTCCTGCACAAGTCTAAGCTCTTCAGGGCGATGGAAGTGAAGGAGAGCAATCGGCCGGATGTCGGCAGGCGAGTGTTGTTCTTGTGTTCAATATGGCGACGCCGGCACGTCTCGTAGCGCCGGTATCAGTGTACCTTTGTATACTCAATTCAGTGAGAATTTTCAGTGTTTTTTAAACAGGTGCCCAGAGTTGTGCAGTCTGTAGCGTTTATGTGAGACATGCATCTATTCGCCAGTCCGTCCGTGTGTCTGTCCATCCATCCATCTGTCTGTCCCTCCGTCCATCCATCTGTCCATCCATTTGTTTGTCCATGAACAGTAGGGGCACAACTCTAAATGGCTTCACCTACATTCCTGCAAATTTGGCACGGAGAGTCACAATCAGGTGATGCCTCGTCAGTGAGGATATAAAAGTCAAAGGTCAAAGGCCAGTGGACCTAAGACCCTACCCTTTTCATGAACGTTGCAACTGAGCACAACACTGTACAGCTCTGGTTCAAATGTTCCGGTCGTACATTGCCACCTACAGCCACCTGAGTCCGGGGTAAAATGGCAGGTGTTGTAGTCTGGCTAGGAACTGCCATTTCGTTAACCGTACCCCCGAAGACGTAGTTTTATTATTTGTGGTCTGCGCGATGACAAATTGACGTTCTTGCATCCCGCTTCAGTGTGCAGGACCGCGGCTACCAGCTGCAACTGTACGACACGGCCGACAGAGATCTGCACAACTTCCTCAGTGCAATCAGACGCAGGAATGACACGTTCTATGTGGTGTCCTTCACCAGGGTATGTAATACTATGTATCAAACCTAGCTGGTCGTGAAACCAAGGGCCGAGTTTGAATTTCACTGTGGCGCCGCGTGCCCTCCGTACCTGAGGTGCGACACCCTGAGAATTGGACGGTATCAAATGTTTACATAATAGAACATTTTTATCTATTATTTCTATTAGCCAAAATTATCATTTTCTATTATGGACTCTTGACAGTATCCATGCCAAGAAAGAAGCTAACGTGGTTGTCCTACCCAGTTTTCTTATGGATTATTCCCGTAAACTCATGTCCCCACAGTGTGTACACGTGCGTGCGTGCGTGTGCACGTACACTTACACGTGCATGCATGCGTCCGTGTGTGTGCACGTACACGTGCGCACGCGTGTGTGCAGGTACACGTTCGTGTGTGCGTACGTGCGTGCATGCGTGCGTGCGTGTGCTTGTATTAGTGTTCTCACTTTTGGCCCCTTGTGACAGGTGTTGCTAAAGTGGTCATGGGAACACCTCTTTGAAGGAAACGTGTGCCTTGGTACCCCCCTAACTTGCAGTGGTGGGCTAATATTTACGATTATACTTGAACACTCTTCTCATCCTGTGATAAATTAAATTTGAGCCATGCATAGTGAATGGAGGATAGGATGAGAAACAATATAAGGCAATTGCAAATATATAGAT